AGGATTTCTGTAATCATAATATCTGATGATATTATGTAGGACATACAGAGATCTTAGCAATGTCTTTCATGCCAAACTTTCAGGAATATTGGGGTCCATCTGAAGTCTTTGCAGTGCTATCGGTTGCTTTCTATGTAGTGTGAGTTGTGGCGATTTGAAACTGTGTGTGGTTGCTGATTTGAGAGGAAATGATGAAAGACTATAAGTGAAAGTCTGGAAACTTAACCAGAAAGAAAGTTCTTAAAATCATGCAGCTTTATTGGGCTTGAGACATCACTTTTAGTTATTTCATGATGCTAATGTACACCATAGGTCATTAAAGTTTCCCAAGATTGTGTAAGACAGATCAATCCATCGTGTTCACTTTATTATTATCCCCAAGCCCTCAGGGGCTGGAGCTAGTAAGGAAAGATCACTTAACACTTTGGTATCAAAAGGTTCTGCCAAAACAAAGAGCCTTGCAAAAAAAAAAAAAAAAAAAAGGACAAAATTGCAACTGTTGATTACACATACCCATTAACCAGTGTGATCACAGAATGTTTCAGAAATAACTTTTTTTTTTAATTTTTTATTTATTTATTATAGGCACACAGTGAGAGAGAGAGAGAGGCAGAGACACAGGCAGAGGGAGAAGCAGGCTCCATGCACCGGGAGCCCGACGTGGGATTCGATCCTGGGTCTCCAGGATCGGGCCCTGGGCCAAAGGCAGGCGCCAAACCGCTGCGCCACCCAGGGATCCCAGAAATAACTTTTATCTTAGTCTTTTTCTCATCAAAAGTTTTCAATTTCGTTTTTACACAACTTGGTTTTTCCTGAAATTCTGAATATTAAAACAGAAATTGATGAGATACTTGGCTTTGCTGAGATGTACTTTATACCATAAGGTAGGACAAATATACCATGATTCCACAGCAAAGCAATCATTTCTACCACAAGGAGTGAAACAAAACCAAGAGACCCTGCGTTTCTATGATATATACAACTAACCACATGTCTAGCCCACAACTGTACTGTTAATCAAATAAGTTTGTATATTTAGTTAAGTGGAAAATTTTCAAGAGTTTTCTTTTTTTTTTTTTTTTAAGAGTTTTCAATAGGTTGGTGCATCCTTTTGGTTAGGAAACTAACACCAGTCTTTTCCCAGCCTTTCTCTAGATTGAGAAAATTAATAAATCAGACTGAGAGGTTACTAAATAAAGTGCTTCAGATACGAAAAACCATCTCACATGATCCCCCTTTGATTATTTGTTTTTGATCATTTTCTTTATTGAAACTACAGAGCTCACCTGAAAATTATAATGATGGAAGTCATATTTTAGTAAAAAGAATGCTTATTTTGCTATCAAAAATTATCCTAAGAGGGACATCTGGGTGGCTCAGTGAGCATCTGCCTTTGGCTCAGGTCATGATCCCAAGGTCCTGGGATAGAGTCCTGCATTGGGGTCCCTGCAGGGAGCCTGCTTCTCCCTCTGCCTGTGTCTCTGCCTATCTGTGTGTGTCTCTCATGAATAAATAAATAAAATCTTTTTAAAAAATTATCCTGAGGAAGGATAAAAATACTTGGCTATGTGATTTGAACAAATGTATGTCAAAGTAAATACAGTGTGCCATCAGGAATAAGAGAGCCACAGTGCAGCTTGGCCCACATATATATGCTCAGATAACTAAAATACTGTGTATGCTATATTCACTGAAAATTATTCCTAAGTTATAGAATAATTATAACCTGCTTTTTGATTGCTGAGGCTATATCACATTTTCCACCTCTAAGTATGAAGTAGATAATGTAAATATGCATGAATTTTTGCTCTAATAGAAACAATGTGAATTTTTAAATTGGGATATCATAAAAGTAAGCGTCACTTCCCCTGAATAAAATATACAACAAATTATAGGCCCAATATTTTATTCTTCACATGCAGCTGAGCTAATAATTCTGCTTTAAAACAAATAAAAATTTCAATTGTTATTATCCTAGCCTAGTTCTTAGTAGAAAAGATTATTGATGCTAGAATATCCACATATAAAGCTAAGTTTGTCTTTTAAAGAGATGTTGGTCTACAGGGCTGAGGAAGCTCCTCAGCCTTTATCAGCCTTTATTCATAAGACTTTGGCAGAGGAAGCTCCTTGCCTCGTCCAGCTGAAGTCCTCTTAATTCAAGGAGAACAAGAAGGACACCATTCCTACCTTTAAGGTACTTTCAACAGATGGAGGAAAACAAGATCTACATACTTCGAAAAATTGAAAACCACCCTCTGTGCTACAGGTGAATATACAGGCAAAGTGGCTTAAATCACAGAGGGAACATTGGGGGAATTCGTAAAGGATATCCAGCAAGAGGTGAGTAACGAGCTTTCAAACGGCGTGGAATTTAGCCTCGGTGGGAAATTAAGAGCACTTTGTGAGACATGTCCTCAGAGATCTAAACCCTTTGGTCTTTTAAAAACATTTGAATAGCTTTAAAATGTGTTCCAATGTTAGGAAGTGTGGCATTATCTCAAATAGCAAAACTTCCTGCAAGAAAGTCACCCTGATAAGGGGGCAACTAGGGGCGGAAAGACCAGGCCCCTTTGACCCTACATGGGCCCAGGAGTGCGAGACATGGCTCTGACTAGGCCTGGGCCTTCAGAGATGAGGACAGAGGGGAGAGAAGACCCCAGCACTTGTGTGGGTCCTGGTACTTTGTCTTGGGAGAGGTAGAAGTGGCTCCAGTGTGGCCTACAGGTCCGAGACGCCTGAGGAGGGGTATGCACAAAGCGGTGCTCCACCCCAGCTCGCGTCTCGGTCAGGAATGCCATGTCTGCCGATGAGTGAGACACGGGGAGCTCCGCTTTGTTCACAGAGGCAAGTCCCTGCCTAACATGAGCTGTCTTCTTTTTGACCATGATGTCCACCAGAGAATTTTTATCTAAGATTGGTGACTAAGGAAGGCCTCCTGCCAATCCAGCGGTAACCCAGGCCTTACTTCTCAGGCTCCTGCGGCAGTTGGCAAAGAGAGAGCAGTGTGAGCGTGGGCACTGGAAAGGATGTGGGGGGTGGGGGGGTTCTGACCTGAAGGGCCATGGGCACGGTGCTGGGGAGCCCCCCCTTCACTTTGACACAGTGAGGACCCACAGGAGCAGGACACCAGCGGAGGTGATTGAAATCCCACAAGATGTAACATCTTTCTGCAAGAGGGTCATATTTATTGTTCACATCTGCTAAATGGCTCAACTACTAAAATAGGCCAACAGAGAAGTGAAAGGACACCCACCTCCTATGTCCCTGAATGAAGTAAAAGGGGCTCCTTTCCTTTCTCCTGTGAGAAGGGATGGGCACTGGGGTGGGGGGCAAAGACCACAATCCAGGGCTGAGGTGATCTGTGCAGTTTGGAAAGGATGGGGGTGAAGGAGCCATCCTGTGGGGGAGAGAGAGGAAGCTGGCAAACAGCGTCACGAAGGCTTGCTCCGGCTGGACTGCCTCGAAGGCACCTATGAAAGTCCCCACCCATCGGTGCATTCCAGATGCCAGCCTTGCCTGGGCTCCCCTCTGCTCTGAGACTCCAAGAACGGGCACGGGCCCTAGAGGTAACGGCCTCAGTACTGGCCTGGGACTGGCCACGCAGAGGTTGGCTTCGAGGAGAAAAGACCAGGGCAAGAGAGAAGCTATGAAGTTCTTGCAAAGGCCAGCCATGGGAAGAGCCCAGACCTGGATGGTGGCTGAGGGGACGGACAGGGGCCACTCTGACCGGACTCGGGACATTGATCGCTTATGAGGACTGATGGAGAAAAATGGACCAAGAACACCTCAGAGGCTTCCGGACCCAGGCAACTGGACTTTGAACAGAAGAGCAAGCCCTTGAGAGAGGGATAATGAATACGGCTTAGATCACCCGAAGCACTTTATTCATCAGAGAGGAGTTGTAACGCCTGAATTACCAAGATAACTCACCTATGGGACAAAAGTGAACGTATCAAAGAACACTTAGAAATGCAATTAAACTTGTTTATTGAAATAAACTGGGAGTAATACGGATTGTTTTCAGCGTCATAGCCAGAAGAAACACAGTAGGAGAAGAACCCAAAATAATACATTTTATTCCCAAGAGGTCAGGGAACCCAACCCTTGAACAGATGAGGAATCCAGTGACCAGACAGGCTGGCATTCTCCACTCTACACATGCTTAGGGCACTGACCGTGTGCCAGGCACTTACTTGGTGCTGGGCAGAGAAAAAGTAGACAGAACGTGGTGACCCGTATCAAGGAGCTCACAGCCAGGCTGGTGGGCGATGCTGCCCAGGAAGCAGGCGAGAAGCTACAGGGCGCACCCAACCCGGCCGGCAGCAGCTCTCTGAAGGTCAAGCGTGAGCTGACCCGGGAAGGATGAGCAGAAGTGGCGCAAAGAGGCTGCGGAAACAGGGCCCCCGCGAGGAACCCCACGAGGGCAAGCAGAGTGCATGTAGTTACTGGGAGGAGTTCAAGTACAAAGGCATTGCAGGCCCGGATTCTGAAGACATCAGTCCCCTGACCCCCAGTTCAACGCTGTTTTTAGAACACTTGCTGTCTTTCGAGGTCTCCTGACAAATATAGGATGATTCGGCACATCCATCAATACTCTTGCGTAGACAAAAGGAAGCACACGTGGCCCACGCTTACTCAGATACGCACGTGAGGATTTTCAAACTCTCTTGTGTAATCGCTTTGTGTTAGAGCCTTTCATCTCCTCCCCAGATTTTTATCAATCGGGTCATGCCACAAAGCTCTTAAGTCTGGAAGGGGTTTTTAAGGAATCGCTTGGTCAGGGGTCAAGGGAACAGGAAGCAGGGCAGGGGGAGCGGCCGCCACCCTGGTGCAGGCAAGATAGAGGCCACTGTCTGCAGAGAACTCAAAAATTTATCATAAAACGGGACCAAAATCGTCCTGCATTTTATTATCACTACGTGGCAGCAATGCAGCAATTCTCGGCAATGCGGGTAATGAAACCCTCCCCCCTGCCCCCCCAGCTCACGTGTGCCCCCGCTCCCAGATCCACCTGCCAGCGCAGACAGCGCATCCCCGGGTCAGCCGTCTCCTCCAGTCGCATTCCCACCGCTGTCCATCCCCTTCGTCAACATCGCTTGAGTAGTCAGGATCATATATACAAAGAACCCCGGATCGCGGTTTATCTTCCTCCCACCAGGATCCTTCTCTCGAGCCAAGGTGGTCACTTCTCGAAAGCCCCGCACCCCGCGGGGGCGCCCACGGGCCTACTGCCAGGAGCAGTTCTCGCTCATCGGCTCCGGCTGGGCCGTCTGGCAGGTGCTGGGCGGGGTGAACACGGAGGGGTCTTTAATGCCCAGCTGGATGTCGAAGAACCGCGTGGACAGCAGCACACTGTAATTTCTGGTGAAGGTTTCCTGGACGGGGTAACAATCCTTGACTGTGTAAATGCCAATCCAGGTTTCGTCTGCAAGAGGAAGGGAAGTTGACTTTTTAACATAGAAGGTGGGCAAAATACCTGTATTTTTATCCTGGGGGCAAAATATACATAAAATTCACCCTTTTCACTATCTTAAAGTATATTTCAGGGGCACCTGGGTGGCTCAGTGGTTGAACGTCTGCTTTCGGCCCAGGGCGCGATCCCGGAGTGCCGGGATCGAGTCCCACATCGGGCTCCCTGCACGGAGCCTGCTTCTCCCTCTGCCTGTGTCTCCGCCTCTCTCTGTGTGTCTCTCGTGAATAAATAAATAAAATCTTTAAAAATAAAAAATAAAGTAAGGTTCAGTAGCATTAAGTACGTTCACGTTGTTCTGAAACCATCGCCACGATCCGTCTCCAGAACTTGGTCATCTTCCTCAGTGGAAATTCTGTGCCCTCTGACACGAACTCCCCATTCCCCTGCCTGCCCCCCCCCAGCCCCCATCCACTTCCTGTCTCTATGAACGGGACTACGCTAGGGACCTCAGATAAGTGGAATTACAGAGTATTTGTCCTTTAGTGACTGGCTTATTTCACTCAGCATAACATCCTCAAGGTTCATCCAATATTATCCGTGGCTGAATAATATTCCATTGTTTGTTTACACCACATTTTGGGTATTCATTTACCAGCCGACGAACGCTTGGGTTGTTTCTACCATCTCGCTGTTATGATTAGTGCTGTTATGAACATGGGTGCACAAATATCTTTTTGAATCCTTGCTCTAAATTCTCTTGGATATACACCTGTACGCAGAACTGCTAGGTCATAATGATAATTCTATGCTAACTTTGGGGGAACAGTTTTTACACGGGTTTGCACTATTTCCCACATTCAAATATGATGCTTAGACCCTGGAGCTAAACAACTAGCCGAGTACACGTGGGGACTTCCAAGTAGGTGCGGGGGATGCCAAACAATCTAATTAAGCTTATGCATTGCCCTAACTACCTTCCTTGATGGACTTAAACTCTTTTCCCATCATGCTTCCTGAGATGTAGCACTTGGCTATTTTATGAAGCCTTACATGATCTAGCTGACTTTCTGTCGGACCATTCTTGGACTGTGATCTGCTCCTGGGGCCCCCCTATGGAGTACTGGTCCTCAAACGTGGAATTCTGAGGAATGTCTAGAGGGTCCCAGGGGTCCGTCAGGGTGATCTTGGAGCACTGCTTGGTGGCTTGTTCAATCTGAAACATCACTCCATCCTTATAGAGCAAAATATATTCAAATAATCTGAAACACAGATATAAAGAAAGTGGATCAGGACTTCAAGTTACAATCATCATGTCTTTTATCAGCATACAGCCCAAAGGCCTTCGATATAAATTACTCTTAGAATGGAACAAGCTGGAAAAAATAGTTTTGCTTGCTAGGCAATCATTTACTTATTTATGAGCACTAGACACACTGACGACCTAAACACAAAATAATTAAAAATTCAGAGTTCAAAATTGAATATTGAATAATTGAGTACCTACTGTATGCCAGATCCTGTGCTTTGGCTACAAACATGAGGAAGACACGGCCCTGGGTCAATGGCTGGTGTGTGACCTTTTAGCCGCAGGGACCTAGGAGGATTTGCCCCTTGGCTTGGTTGAGCTCTCCTTGCAGCACTAAATCACGAATCATTGGGGTACACTGAATGGAGCACATCAAGAAACTGCTGAGGTCAGACCACACACCTGAGCCCCGCAGCTATATGAGAATGAGGGCCCCCCTCCCATTAACTGGAGGAGGTTGAGATGAGCAAACAAAAGTGAGGGGACCCCAGAGCGAATGGTTTCCCATGTAGTTTGTCCACATGCTCTTGGCCTCATGTCTCCTGAGTACACCCCATGTGTAGAGCAAGCCAAAGGTATTCCCAGGCTGGGCAGGGAGTCTGCAGACACCCCCCCCCCCGCCCATGATGCTGAACACTGAGTTGTCCCCAGTCCTGTGTGGATCTCAGAGCTAAGCAATCTTGGGTGAACAAGTTGGACTTCTGTGTGTTTGACTGTCAGTCCAAACCTCAGGTCACTGCAGCTGGCCCAGCAGAGTGAGGCTGCGACCCTGACCTCACACAGTGAAATTCGCAACACCTGGGGTGGGAGGGTGCTTTTCCTGAGCAAACTAAGATAGCCAGCAGGTGAGACTCACTGCACCCCACATCCTCCACTTGCCTCCAGGGCAAATGTCTGCCATTCCAGGTTGAAGCTTAAAAGGCCTTTTCTTCAGACAAACCTTCAGGGACACCTGGGTGGCTCAGTGGCTGAGCATCTGCTTTGGGCTCAGGGTGTGATCCTGGGGTCCGGGGACGGAGTCCTGCATCAGGCTCCCCACGGGAAGCCGGCTTCTCCCTCTGCCTGTGTCTCTGCCTCTCTCTCTCTCTCAGAGTCTCTCATGAATAAATAAATAACATCTTTTTTAAAAAAAGAAAAGAAAAACTTATAAATGATCACTGCCTACATGGTCATAATAGCACCACCACTAGGGTTACAAGCCAGTGTGGAAGCATAAACATGACCTTATTTTATATCTTTAGATAGATCTATCCTGCTTCATTCTAGGAAATAAAAATGGCTTATGAGGGTAAAACTCTCTCCTTTTAGAAGTGGGAGCAATTGCAGGAAGAAAAGGAAGAGTTCGTTTGCTGCGATAGTGCTCACAGGAGAGTGGAGCCACCTCTTCTACTCTGAGCCCTCTGCAGGAGCCGGGGTTGGCCTGTCCCCGCGGCCTTTGCCCAGTGCAGTCCCTGGCACATCACGTAGGAGTACAGACACGATCGACTTCAGAGGGCTGTCCATTCATCCATCAATATGGGACTCTGTACATTAATCCTGTTCCCCGATCCCTTCGGTGACAGCAGGTCCCACAAAACATCTGCACTGTGTGCCCTCGGGGGTGGCTCTCTTCTCGACTCTCCTCACCATCAGCACCGGCCGCCTGCAGCCTCCCAAGTCCCAAGTGTCTGGCCGAGACAGGCATTCGTCATTCTTGCAGAACCTCCAGTGGTGTGCTTCTCCAACCGCAGGAGATATGCACCATGGGGGGGGGGGGGTGTCTTCCTTCCCGAGAACAGCCCTCAGCCCCCCGAATCCACGGGTCACAGCAGTGGGAGCCGGGCAGCCAACCTGGCCATCCAGGAGCGGGCTACCCTCGCAGGCCTTACTGGACCCGAGGTGGACATGCGACCCAGGGCGACACAATCAGATTGATTCTGTCCCACAAGCATGTGGAGTTGCCATGCGGGGACCTCGAGGCAGTCTCCTCGCGTGTCTGGACATGTCCTGTGCAAACCCACAGGATGTGGGAGGCTGTTTGCAACATGCGACCTGGGCACGAGGAAGAACGTACTGGGAGGCCAAGAGCGGGCATTTGCGGGATGCGCTTCCTTTCCGAGGCCCGGTGTCCGCAGACCCCCCTGCAGAGCCACGAGGTTGCCTTCCTTGTAATGAAGTTTCCTCTCCCGCCTGGAACTTTTTGCGTGACTCATCATCACCAGGACTGGTCTCTAACACAGCCGAGGCCGCCGCCGCCCCGCCCGGAGCCCGGAGGCCAGCTGCCAGCACAGCTGTCCTGGCAGAGACACGAGGGCCTGGGGTGGGGGGCGGCCACCAGCGGGGCACGGGGAGGGCCACCTGGCTGCTGCCCTGACGCCGCCTCTGCCCGCACCCAGAGGGACGGTCTCCTCAAGACGAGAATGCTGGCCTTGCAAGCGGCCTCACCAACGTCACCCTTTACTCCTGCTGGGTGGCCGGAGCGCAGGTGTTCGCTGCAGCCTTCTCTGTACTTGCCTGTTTTCACGATATTTCACTCTTGAACACGAGGCCATAACCAGAAACTGGGCTTGTGGTGACAGGGCCTCGGGCGCAAGAGAAAACAGTAACCTGATGGGAAACCAAGACGACCGGACGATTGTTTGCTTTCCTCAAACTCCCGAATGGATCTAAAGGCGAGGACGGAGGGCTCGACTCGAAGTTTCGGAAAAGCAGCTTTCGGGCCGCTGCTGTGGCTGCATTACCCCGGGCCTGGCTGCGAGCGTCAGTCACAGCGAGGACGAAGGTCCTCCATGGCCAAGGGGACACAGGCTGGAGCCCGACGGAGCCCCGAGGTGGAAGCGCAGAGCTCAGCCAGGGTCCAAATGAATCATCTGCCTGCGATGGGGCGGGAAGGGCCGCGACGCCTCCGACAGAAACCCGATCCGGCGGCAAGATCAAGGCCTGGCGCTGCAGCCGAGGAAGCTGGGAGGACAGGGGCCGCTAATCACACCCCGGGGTGCGAGGTGAGGTGCTGGGCCGGGCCTGGAGGGCAACGCAGCGGGGCAGGCCGCGGTCAGCAGGAGCCTGCGAACCCCCGGCCCCAAGCGGGTCAGCAGGCTGAGCTTCCCGCCGTGCTGCCTGCAGAAGCCCTGCCCCATCCGGCCCTCGTGCCCCCTCCCTGTGGGACCAAGGGTCCCGGTTGCTTTTGACAAAATTCTCAGGCTGCCCTGACCATGTCCGTGGTTTCCCGAAAATCCAATTTCCTTAAAATTCAGGCTCTACCAAAACACTGAAAACCTGCAGAAGTTTTATATCTTCTGGGCTATGTAAAATCAATTCATGTTCAAAGTAAAAAAAAAAAATCCAAACAGTACAGAAATGGAAAATGAAGTAAAAATTGCCCAGAAACTCAAACATATAGAAATAACAGCTCTGTGCATCTGTGTCTAAACACAGATTGATCTTTTTGTTTAAATTTCTTTCAATTGTGGTAAAGTACACATAACGCAAGCTTTATCATCTTAACCATGTTTAAATATATAGTTCAAAAGTGCTAAGTGCATTTGTATTATTGTGCAACCAATCTCCAGAATTCTTTTCATTTTGCAAAACTGAAACTCTAGGCCCATTAACTGACTCCTCATTTCTCCCTCCCCTGCCAGCTCCTGGCACGCAGCATTCTACTTTCCATCCCTATGAACTTGACGGCTCCAGGTACCTCATCTAAGTGGAATCATAGAGTAGTTGTCCTCTTGGGGTTTTTTGTTTTTTTGTTTTTTTAAGATTGTATTTATTTATTCATGAGAGACAGAGAGAGGCAGAGACACAGACAGAGGGAGAAGCAGGCTCCATGCAGGGAGCCCAAAGCAGGACTCGATCCCGGGACCCTGAGATCATGCCCTGAGCCAAAGGCAGGCGCCCAACCACTGAGCCGCCCAGGTGTCCCAGTAGTTGTACTTTCATGACCAGCTTATCTCACTCAGCATGACGTCCTCCAGGTTCTTCCGTGCTGCAGCACACGTCAGAATTCCCTGCCTTTGTAAGGCTAATATTCCACTGAATGTATAGACCACATTCTGCTTATCCGTTCATCTGTGTAGAGACCCTGGGTTGTTTTACCTTCTGGCTATTATGGATAACACGGCTGAGAACATGTTGTGCAAATACCCTACTGATTTGTCATTATGCGTACTGGACACATTCATAAAAATGAGTAAATATGATGTTTTTTACCCTATGTTTTACTTTTTTAAGATTTTGTTTGTTTATTTGAGGGAGAGACAAAACATAGGCATGGGGAAAGGCCAGAGGCAGAGGGAGAAGCAGACTCCCTGCTGAGCAGGGCTTCCCAACTCAGGGCTCAATTCCAGGAGCCTGGGATCATGACCTGAGACGAAGGCAGACACTTAACCAACTAAGCCACCCAGATGCCCTAACCTATGTTTTAAATTCAACAATTTGTCTGTGATTTCCTTCCAGGTCAAAAAATACAGATTTATAACATCAGTTTTTCCTAATTTACAATGAAATGTTTTTAAAATGCAGAAGAGTTGAATGATCACCTCTGTATCTACCACTTAGATTCAATAATTGTGACATTTTGCTATGTTTGCTTTATCTATATTCTATATTTACTAAAAATAAGGACTTTCTGCCTCCCCCTGCCACTACCGTTATCACACCTAGGAAATTAAAATTCACTCCCTAATGCCAGCTAATATCTGGTCCATATTCAATTGTTCTCCAAATATATATTTTAAAGTTTTTTTATAACCAGAATCCAATCATATTTCAAACATTACAGTGGGGTGTTACGTCTCCTCTGTTTTAAAAATCTGGAACACTACTCCTACCGTTTTTAATTTTTATCATGGCCTTGACTCCCCGAAGACTCCAGGGCTGCACAAATTCCCCATTCTAGAGTTTTGTCAGTTTCCTCATTTAAATTTGTTCTTCTAGCTCCTGTCATTCCTCCAAACTAGATCTGAATTCTAA